CATGCAGTATTAAAACACAAATGTTGAAAACTAAATTATTCACACCTTTGTATATCAACTGTTCAATCAGGCATAATTACTGTCACCAACCATAACGACAGCCGCCAGGGAGTACTTCAATATAACTGTTATTAAAACAACTCATTATCACCTGTGGGGACTGATCAGTGGCTTCAATATAAGCGAAATTTCAATATAACCGATTTCAATATAACCGTTATTTTAATGCAAAGAATATGAGAGGCAAAATCTGGGGATTTATTTCTAATTCAAAATAAGCGGAATTTCAAAATAAGCGAGTTCAATATAAGTGGAGTAAGCTGTAAATAAAATACTTTAATGTTTTCAGTATACATTTGGTGATGTGTAGGTAAAAGCTGTGGTAATTTATGTTGATATTTTTTCTATGTACTTGTAGGATTTACGCTACCACAAGGATTATCAATCTCTTCTCACCCCAGTGCTCAAGAGAACCCTGCCTTAAGTGCTTTTGGACTGCCCAAAGTGTCACCTCAGGCGTCGTTTTCAGAGGCACCATTGCTGAGGTCGCCTATAGGGGAGCCTATAGGTTGTAGTATTCCATCGCATTATCCACCTGATGCCTTAAAATCCAGCCAAGATGCTGAAAGAGGACTGTTAAATTTAATGAACTCAAGCCAGCTCCCTTTAGAGCTGACAGGCCCACCCCCTGCTCACTCTGGATCCACCAATCAGTCTTTATCTCGAAATCCTTTGGCAGCTGAAAACTTCATTCAACATCAGCCTTTCTCTATGAAACTTCAAAATCAACCAGAACCTTTGAAGATATCTGTTCCTTCTTCAAAAGTTGGATATAGTGAAATGAGAAGTCCTACCAGCTCCCTTTTGTATGGCTTATCAAGCCCAGGATTGGAGGAACACTCTCAGCCACAATCCTTGTATGGTGCATTTTCATCAACACAAAATTCTAAGCCTGAACAGTTCAGCACTACCCATAGTATGAACTATGACCCGGTGAGTCCTGTCTCTGATCATGGACAACAAAGTGATGAATTTACACATGTGGACTTTCACGATCTTTCTCGTGTGGACCACTCTAGAAACTCTGTCAAAGTAAATCAAAACACAGTTATGATGCAGCACATGAATGTTTCTAAGTCACTAGCAGAAGACCTTGGACCAGATCAGAATTCATACATGTCAAGCCATCAGTTCATGCATGGATCCCCTTCAATACCTACTAACAATGGTAACCCCAGTCCAATTCATCAGTCCCCCCACAATCTTAGTCCTCATGTTCCTTCAGCTCGGGAAAGTCCACAGCTACAGCAACCAACATCCACCATTATATCATCACTCTCTGTGCATTCAATAGCAGACTCTACATCAAAGAGTAAAAAATCAAAGTTTCACAAGCGTAGGTCAAGGGATGAAAATCATCAAAATATGGATCTTGTAAACTCTGTGAATGTGTCAACCAGTAATCCAGCATACACTGTTCCAGGGAATTACCCCTCCTACAGTGCACCAAGGAACCATACAGACAGCCCTCAGAATCTTAATTCATTCAGTCCTCAGTCTTATAGCCCTCACATGCAGCAACAACATCAACAGATGCAAGGAAGCCATCCTCAGAATATTCAAAATGGCAGACACTCGAACTCTTCATTGGGGAGTAACAACTCCCCTGTAATGAATGAATACACCTCACTGTCACAGACTATAATTGGAACACAAAGTGCATCCTCTCACACAGTGTCTCATTCCATGGAGAGCCCCTTGATTAATCATAGTATGAACACAAGCATGATATCGCAACACACACTTCACTCTGGTGGCATGCCCTCCTCCATGGCTTCAGGTCTTACTTCTTCAAACTCCATGCGGATCTCATCCATGCAGAGACCATCAGTGGTTGAACACCAGTCCACTTTAAATTACAATTCTGGGAATTCAGTGAAATCAACTCTTAGTGATCCCCTTGGAATGCAGGCTTTAGGACTTGTTGGGGACAGTGAGTATCAAGTGTCATCTGCTGAAAGCAGTATGTATGGCAATATGGACAGTTACGGCAATAGATTTGACGTAAACGGTGAATGTCTTGGATATCAGGTGAGTCAGAGGAGAACTTCCACCATTGATGAGGATGCTTTATCAAGCTTGATAGGAGGACATCCTGCTCCTAGTCACTACCCTACAACAACACTGCCTCCAGCTCAGGATCAGCCTACTGGATCTGAGGGCTGGAACTGCTCTCAGGACAGCATGATTTCCCCACCTAAGACAGTGGCAACCAAACCTGAGCAGGATGATGAGTTTGCTCACCTTCAAAAGCCTCCCAGCAGTTCTGTGGTAAGCAAAGAGACCAAGCACAGTAATAGCCTCTTTCAGAACCATTCGCTCAATAGTAAACCTGTTCCTTCTCTTGTGCAAAAACCGGAAATTAAGAAAAACCCTAATTCAGGATTTCTTAATTCATTTCTGAGCTTCATTCAAGGAAAGAAGCCAGAAACATTATCAAGTGTAAATACCTCAGTTGTGAAACGACCAGAACTGCCAAAATATATTCCAGAACCTCCAAGACCGAAACCAGTGCAAAAATCAGAGAGAAAATTCAGCAGTGATAGTACATCTCCAAAACCTGACACATATCCAAGTTCTCTGTATTCTCCCTCCACTTCTCAGGCATCCACATTCTCAGAGGAGGAGGAATTAGGAACCGCAAATGTCAGCAACAAGGTTCAGGGTATTGTGCAGCAAATTAAAGAGGATGGTAAGCCAAGTCTGAAAATGAAAATTAGTCTTGGCAGGGGACAGAGTGGTCAGAGTGTCAAACACACGGTAGACCACCCAAAAGTGACTAAACGCAGAAATTCAAAAGCTACAAAAAAGAAACGTAGAGATGATTCGGATGATGCATATGTGATGTCATCAGGAGATGAGGTTGACTTTGATGATTTTTCAAGTAAAAGTTCATTTATAGAAAAGCCCCCATCACCATCAGTTCCTAAGAGGCAGCTCTCTTCTCGAAAGGCCAAGGAAAGGGCACAGCAGAAGAGTGAGTGTTCTATTTCAGAAAAATTAAAATTTCACCAAGTTTATACCGGTATTAATTTGCAAGAGATTTATTATAGGGTGTCAAATATCAAGAATTCTGACAAATAGTGAAATGATATTATGTGACATAATGGCATGATGCTTGTTCCATTCCTTTGTTAAATGCGTGTCTACGAGAAAACCATGCAGAATGCTATGAAAGCAAGTTTTTCAAAATTTCTTGAAACTTTGCATACAAAGTGAGATCAAGGTCACTTACTTACTGCGTAAGTTTGGTGACGTCATTTGATTTGTTACCATGGATACAGGGAGAATTAGTTTATCGTCAGCCTATTTCTATACCCAGTATGGAAAAATAACACCTTTTGTACATATTCTGTTTGTGTATAAAAAATTTCCATAATAACTTCATAACTAATGGATTTAAGGAATTAAAACCTTTGAAAAAAATATTTACAGAATTTTTTTCCACATACCTTTTTGAATGTGAAGTGCTACGAGTGCAAAAAGGTCACGATAATTGTAAGACATAATGATATTTGAATAGTCTGCAGAAAAACAGCTATAAAATTCCAAGAAACGCTTCCATTGATTTCATATTTTTAAAAAGTGATTGTTTTTAAATATATTATTTAGTATTAATGTGATTTTGGTTGCAAATTTAAATTAATGGAGTTTTCACTCTTGTAAGTGCAGAACTGCAAGTGCAAAAAGGTCACAATAATTCTAAGGGATATTCTGTAGAAAAAACAGGCATAGAATTTCAAGAGACACTTCAGTGATTATATTTTTTATCAAGAAGTATTTGTTTTAAGATATTTAAGTAAAAATAACAGGCAATTTGGTGGCACATTTGAATTAGTTGATTTTTTCACCCTAGCAAAATTACACTATATCTGGGTAGAAAGGCATACTGGACTACTGGAGTGATTACATTTTGAATGTTAAATCATTTCAGGCACATGACCTTCAATCTTCATGACTGAAATTAGCTTATATTTATCCAGAATGTCACAAAGATGCATGATTTGAATATTTGTTTAACCAGAAGTCTTTTTCGAGACTGTAGCTCTACTGGTTTGTACTTCTAACAAAGGAAGAGATAAGTAGCAGTTGGACTTGAAACTTTGCAACAGAAATAAATAGAATAATGATCCTTGATTTGGTCTCTTTTCATGGAAATCTGACTAAAACTAAAGGGGGAGTAGATTTTAAAAGAATTTTACAGAAATTTCTATTTTAGTAACCATAGCAACACCGTTCATCAAAATCCGATAAAAAAAATTATGTATCTCAGTGTACTTTACTTGTGTGCCAAGTAATATTGAAATCAGACCAAAACTGTAGGAGGAGTAGCTTTTGTTGACGGACAGACAGACGACCAACCCCTTACTATCGCATGAGCTCTTCTGGTCTCTAACCAGTAGAGCTAAAAACAAGAGGCCCATGGGCCACATCGCTCACCTGAGTAACTTTGGCCATGCTGTTCATTACCAGACTCCCCCCTTGTAATACCTATTGTGGCCCCACCCTCCCCCCAGGGGCCATGATTTGAACAATTTAGAATCTACACTACCCCAGGATGCTTCCACATAAGTTTCAGCTTTTCTGGTCCAGTGGTTCTTGAGAAGATTTTTAAAGATTTTTCCTATATATTTCAATGTAAAACTTGGGATTCCCCCTATTGTGGCCCCGCCCTATCCCCTGGGTCATGATTTGAACAATTTAGAGTGTACACTACTTGAGGATGCTTCCACATAAGTTTCAGCTTTTCTGGCCCAGTGGTTCTTGAGAAGAAGATTTTTAAAGATTTTTCCTATATATTTCAATGTAAAACTTGGATTCCCTATTGTGGCCCCGCCCTACCCCTGGGGGTCATGATTTTTACAATTTAGAATCTACACTATCCCAGGATGCTTCCACATAAGTTTCAGCTTTTCTGGTCCAGTGGTTCTTGAGAAGAA